GATATATAACGAATGAATATAAAATTCTCAAAATTGCTCAAAATCACTAAAATATTGAATTTTGATAGTTGGTTATGGATTTTTCTTATGAAAAACGTTCCAATTGAAGAAATATTTCTTTAAATTTTTCCATGGAGAGGTCAAAACCAATATCAACACTTATTAATTAACAAAACACTAAACTTGGGTACCTGATAGCAAACAAATAAATAGTAATAAAAAGTTCATAATGTAGAATAAGCACCTGATTAAATATTTACTAAAATAATTGAATTCCGGAATTCTTCAGTAACTTATTCATTGACATGTTCAAATTGATATCCATTTTCCCCAACATACAGTTGACAAACATTCTCAATACTTCTTAATACAGTGAGTGGCCCAACATTTGAAGAACTTTGTGCAACAACAGAGGCAGTTTTCCAGGAATTACAAAGACATCTTTCAATGATTAATATGTATTGAGAAAGTTTGTGATGAAAAATGGACATCAATTTGAACAATTCAATGAATAAATCACTGAATAATTTCGAAATTCAATTGTTTTAGTAAATATTCAATCAGGTGCTTATTCTACATTATAAACTTTTCATTACTATATATTTTGTGGATATCAGGTATCTGAGTCTTGTGTATTGCAAGTTAATTAGTGTTGAAATTGATATTTCCCCCTTCATGGAACAATCAAAGGAAATATTCCTTCAATTGTAAATTTCTTTATATGAAAATCCCTCGAAAAACCCATAGCCCACTATTAAAATTCAATGTTTTAGTGATTTTTTAACATTTTTGAAGATGTTATATTCATACATCATATATCATTTCGAATGGACAAAAATAAGGAATTTAATGAGCCTATAAAATACAGGGTGTTCAATTTGAAAAATCATAAGTATAAGTCGTACTTCAAAACCACACCCGAAAAAAAAATGTTTGTGCGCCACTGAATTCTGCATAAAATTCTCTATGGGTTAAGATTTTAATTTGACATTTTCGCTGATAAACTTCGTAGATATAGAGGGGGTCCAAAAAGTATAAACTTTCAAAATCGCCCTGTATCTCATAAACGGAAACAGTCCTGCAAAATCTGATTAGGTCATCTTGAGTTTCACAAAAAAGTGGCACAGGACCGCGAAATCCGCAAGGTTCTATCTCCAAAGATAACTGAGATATCATGCAAAAGCATCGAAAACTGGACACACTGTACACTGAAGGTGACTTCACAATGTAGCTTTTTTCGCGTCACGCGTCACGGACTTCTCTAATTTACTGCCAACAAATGAGTGAAACCATGGAAACATTGTCGCAAAGAGTTAAATATTTCAACTTCATCTTGTCAACTAATGTTCAAATTGGGCATCACAAATCAGGACAATATAGCTTGTGACGTGCGAAGGCACTGAATTGTGAACTCATATTTCCTCTCCATCTACTGACTGAAACGAAAGTCGTGTTTGTATTCTCATTTCAAGAAACTGCTGTGAATTTACTGATCTACTGCCACGAGAGGAAATATATTACCTCGTGTGTGAACAACTTGCAACTATTTTCTATGAGAACTGAAGTGCACGAATACAATACTAGCCGAATTGAAACTTAGTCAGCCTTTTGAACCAATTTCAACGTTTAAAAGATTCACGCGTGTGTGATACCGGCTACACAATCATGATATTCTTTCCACATACATCAATGAGGACCCGAGTTCGTTCCCTGCGTTGGTCATCTTTTTTTTTCTGTTCTTAATGTTCTCGAGTAATTTTCCGAAAAATATACTTTCTAGGAAAGAGGTTCATTTGAGCCGAGTTAGGCTGTATTTTGAATATTCTCAGATATATTATGAACATGAAAAAAAACATGGTTACTAAAAAAAAATGCATGGAAAATTTGCATTGTTCTCTATCTGATGAAAAGATTTTTTTTTCGGTATATTCAACAGAAAACAACTACTTTACTGGCTATATGCCACGACGAACATTGAACACACACTTCTGAAATTGAGAATTTGCATTCTCTCCCAGATAAAAATATATACAGGCTGATCCACGGTGGATGGCCTATTAGAAGTATCTGGAGAACGAGAGGACAGAACATTCTGAAAATTGGGATGCTTTGATAATTGAACATTCTCTATCCGTCTAAAATATTTTCATCGATACAGTGTTGCCACTTCTATCAGAAACAACTAGTAACTTCGTTATTTTAAATAGAGCACCCTGTATTTTATTGCATTTTTAGATTCTCCCTGAAAAGCTGATTTCTTCAAGGCATCATACTTGGGGTCTAGCAGGAATGAGAACAGAGATATAGGATGTTCAAAATCGAGATTTTTCAATTTCAGGATTTTTTTGTGTCGAAACTATTCATTATCGATCAAAACGGCTCACATGTCCCTATCTTAACTTTCGATTCACTATCTACTGACATCTAATTGGAACAGATACAGGGTGATCAGAATTCTGAATCTTGAAGCACCCTGTATTTTTCCAATCAAATTCCAGTAGATAGTCAATCAAAAGTTAAGTGTAAGGGACATGTAAGCCGTTTTGATCGATAATGAATAGTTTCGACACAAAAAAATCCTAAAATTGTAAAATCTCGATTTTGAACACCCTATATCTCTGTAATCATTCCTGCTAGACCCCAAGTGTGATGCATTGATGAAATCAGCTCTTCAGAAAGAATCTAAAAATGCGATAAAATACAGGGTGTTCCATTTGAAATAACAAAGTTGCTAAGTGTTTCTGATAAAAGTGGCAACACTGTATCGATGAAAATATTTTAGACGGATAGAGAATGTTCAATTATCGAAGAAACCCAATTTTCATAATGTTCTGTCTTTTCGTTCTCCAGATACTTCTAATAAGCCATCCACCGTGGATCACCCTGTATACAGAGAAGTGCACAATAAACGGCCAGTGCTGTAACTTCTGTATCGTTTGAGATCGGATTTTGAAAATTGGCGGGTAGCAAGTATCCCAAATTGCTCATTAATTGACAAACCAATTTTCGTTCTATCACTACCGGTTTCACCGGAAACGACCCAAACTTTTGATTTTCAAATAAGACACCCTGTATTTTATTCCATAATCGGTTAGGTATTACCATAACGAATTCAATGATACCAGATTTGATAAGGTTATTTCAAACGATTACGAAGATATTCACGTTTTAAGTTTCCATATGCTCAATGGGTGTGACTTCGCAATATAGAAACTTCTTTCTCTGTCCCACTTATTGAGCAAATGGAAACTTAGAACGCGAATATCTTCGTAGTCGTTTGAATTTACCCTATCAAACCCGGTATCGTTGAACTCGTCATAATAATCCCTAACCGATTATGGAATGAAATACAGGGTGTCCCATTGAAAGATCAGAAGTTAGGGTCGTTTGTTGTGAGACCTGAAGTGATTGAACAAAAATTGTTTTGTCAATTAATGAACAATTCGGTATACTTGCTATCCACCAAATCCGATGTAGAATGATTCAGAAGATACAGCACTGCTGGTCGTTTTTTGTGCACTCCTCTGTATGTATATAATCTCATTCGGAATATTCAACAGAAAACAACGACTTTACTGGCTATTTGCCTCGCCGAATATTGAATTATATCTGTTCAACACCCAAGATGAGGTTAGATTGTTTAGAAAAAGTAATATCTTATGTAGAAAGGATATTTTCTATCCTTATATTATCTATACAGGGTGTTGCGAAAATCGACCGACAACGCTTGACAGGTGATAGCCCTCGTGATTTCATAATCACTGAGATAGGGACATACAGTCTTCAAGTGTTCAGTTCTCGAGATACAGGGCGTTGAAGTTTAAGAAATTGAAATAGTTTTTTCGCAATATCTCAAGAATGATGGAATATAATGCATTCAAATTCGGTATATGGTTTCATATTTGAATGAGTAATTTTTTTACCAGTAAGCCATTTCGGACATTTCATCCAGTGGTGCCCTACAGGGGGTTGTGGTAACTTTTCCTCCCATATTTTCTACGCCACTGATGAAATTTCGGTTATTTTCGATTCCTCGAATTCATTGTTCAATTTTGTTCAAAAAATGCATCACCTCCAACTGAGCTAAAATGAACAGTTTTCGAGATGTTCGACCCAAAATAGGAGATTACATAGTAATATTTCATCATTTTCAGTAGTAGGAAATTACAAAAATATTTTTCTGGTGATGAGGAGATTAGATACTATTAAGATCTCATTCTGTAGCTGAACAGAAATAGTTATTCCACGCATAAAGAGCAAACAAATATTTTTGTAATTTTCTTCTGAGGAAGATGAAAAATTACTATGCAAACTTCTATATTGGATCAAATATCTCCAGAACTGTTCATTTTAGCTCAATTGAAGGTGATGCATTTCATCAACATTATTGAACAATTGATTCGAGAAATTGGAAATAATCGGAATTTCATCAGTGGCGTGGAAAATATAGGAGGAAAAGTTATCACAACCCCATGTAGTGCACCTCTGGATGAAATTCTTGGAATGTCTTTCTTGTCAGAAAATGAACCATTGAAAGATGAAACCATATACCGAATTTGAATGTGAAATATTCAATCAATTCAGATATTGCGAAAAAACTATCATTATTTCTCAACTTCAACGCCCTGTATCTCGAGAACTGAACACTAACTTGAGAACCGTATGTCCCTATCTCAGTGATTATTAAATCACTAAAGCTATCACCTGTCAAGCGCTGTCGGTCGAATTTCGCAAAACCCTGTATATTGCGCTGGGTAAGGCTAGATTGTTAAAAAAAGAAGTCTCCTTTCTTATACAGAAAAGATATTTTCCTTCATTATATCACGTTTTATACAGATGGAAATGGTATAGTTGGACGCTTGACGCTTTTGTGATTATCACCAATATCCACTATTTGAATATACCGCTACTGCTAGTATCGTCCTGATTGGTCTGGAATTCGGGTAGTATTGAATTCGTGCATAAAAGTGACAACAACCTATATTTGAAACGACAATAATGGCAAAAACTTGCGAAGTGCATTTAATAATAAATTATCATACCTACTTTATAAACGTACTTTATGAAGATAAACTCAAATAAATATAAATGATTGCAAATCAGAGCGACATCAATCCCTCAAACACTTCTACCAATAAAGGAATACTAAGGTTTGAACTTCACTAAAGGAATATTCTTCGACTGTAAACACTTATCACACACCCACTCAGCATAAACTTCTGCAGTCAAAAGTTGAAAAGCTGCTTCCGTCAATCCAGTGCAACCTCTGAAAAATAATGATTCAACATTAAGCTTACTTCAAAATATCATACTCTTAAGTGATACATTATTACTGAGTCACGTCACGTAATTTTTTTATTAATTTTGGACTTACTCCTAGTCACATTTCTCTTCTGATTTATTACTCATTTGAATACACAAGACATTTATGGAGAAAATCACAAAAAATATGGAATAATGAATATACCACCTCCTCTATTAACCTACAGACAGTGTTTAACATTTATGGTGATTTGTTCGTTCGAGATGGAAATATATTTTCGAAATACCAAGTGTTGGAAGGTTGGATTATTTTTCTGCTTGTGGGTGTCATATTTTTTCATGAATAATAGACAAAGACACAATCGCGAAAATTCAATACAACAGCAATAAAAATTATAAGATTTGTATATCGCTACTTCGAAGTTGAAAACCAACTCCCCAGAAGTCCAAACTTGTGCTGGGTTAAAAATAGCGGGACCAACAACAGCTTATAGTGGATTCGGATCCACCTTTAGGGCACCGAGATGCTGACAAGATTACATGATTACAACCAAGAACCACATATTTAAAAAAAAACATCGCATGAGTTGATATTTCTTGGCATACCTAGTGCCTAGACGATCTGACGTTTAATACTTTTTGAAGAGTGAGAACACACTTTCCATGACATTCAGTATAATTCAGTGCAATGAGTTTTTCAACTGGCTTAGATTGAAAACTTCAATAATATCTATCTATCTATTTTTCACGGAAACCCAAACAGTAGCATATCACTGAAGGCATATTATTTTGTCTGATGTATTAAAAAATAATCAATACTTCTTCATACAGCCATGTTCCTGCAAATATACCGGAATGAGGAAGTATTCTATGCAGAAATAATTGTCTCATTCTCGGTTTATATATTCCTAATAGTATTCGACCATTTCAAATAGACGCGAAAATACTGAAAACCCCTTGACATAACCACTGACTAAGAACTATTTAACATGATAAGTACATAAGTTTGCAATTCTTAATATTTCAACAGCTATTGTTTCATCCATTAGACATTTAGAACAATCTGTAAGATTGAATGAATGTTATCTTTTAATCAACGGATTATCAAATCATCTCCATTGGAGTGTTCGCAGAAAATGAAGTTGTCAAGTACATATTTCAACTAGTGAATCTCTAGTTCTAACAAAATACATCTCTTTATTCTCTCGTTCCATTTACCAAATGTCTCCATATTTTGGGAATTCGAATAGATGGTAAAACCATGATTTTTGTAATTCTGACAATCAGTCACAATATATTTAAATAAATACATTGGAAATATTGTTCATGAACGAATCACGAAAGCATTAAACGTCAGATCTAGAGGCTCTAGGCATACCTAACTATTCCATTTCCTGACCTTCTCACGCCATATTGTTTAAAATCTGAGGTAAAATAACTATTATGGAGACAATAACGACGTTTTGCCTTTCTTCAAATGACACAATTTCATACACTTTCAAGAAAATCCAGAGCGTTCAATTCAAGAGGCAGATTTTTTTTCAGTAAATCATGGCATAAAATTCATTCAATTTCCAAAATTAATTAATATAAGCCTTCCAAGTTTCACCAATTTTCGACAGATATGAGCGGAGGAAACAAAAAGAACCGATTGCAAATATTGTCGTGAACTAAAAGGAGAGTAGCGAGGCACCAATTAAATTTGTCAGAAATAATTATCACTGACGAGGTGACAATCACTACTAGGGAACTGTTTAATCGTGAAAAACAGCATTTTTGGTCAAGAGAAGATACGCATGCCTACATCCCCAGATCCCTACATGTTTGGTATGGTTTTCTTGGTAACCTTGTCAATCAGGCTTATTCTAGTTACCATAGGATTGGTTATTGAATCAATTCCAATTGTCATGGCGGATTTTTACTTTGATATCCTCACTTCAATTTCCAACATTGGATATGTCAGATGATTATGTATATTCTAGTGACCACAATTGTTCAAAACTACTCTTTTAGATGTCTATAGCTGAAGTAGTGGTATTAGGAACTATTTGATATTTCAATCTTGTATGTATACTTAAATAAGAAAATGTGAAGATATATCGAATTTAGAAGTGGCTACACTCATTCGTCAGGCCATAAATGAGATGGAAAAGTTCGATATGCAATTAATTGGTATTTCTTCAGTTTTACACTCATAGTGATAATGAAATTGTATAAAGCGCGAAGTGTCTAATGAGCAAATTATAGTACCATTTGATCCATCATGCGGTCCTTGCTTTGTTTTCAGGGACCTTTGAGTCAACGAAAGTGACGAAGTTGTGTGAATGTACATTCGTCTTCAGTGAACATGTCGCACATGGACGGTGTGTGCTCTCTAAATCACTGCTGCAATAAGAGCGCTTACACCGTCCAAGCGCGATATGTTTTCTGAAGACGACTGTACCAAGTGCTATGATAATGGAGGATAATGCTTAGACCTGACAGAATAATTTCGATTTTCCAGTAGATAGTTGAAGCAATGAGGTAATCATGTTTTTCCTTCTGTAACAGGAAACACAACCCAAAGAGATTATTAAAAAATATATATCAATTGACTACAGCTCCTTCGACAGTTTTCCCGAAATGTGTTCCTTTTTCATTCATATTCTACAAGGTTGTTTGATGAATCTGAAGGGGAAGAAGCTGCCAATGTATCAAAAACAGACAATGTTCAACGATTCACCAATAATTATGAATAAATCAAAGAGAATTTATCAGAATATATCAGCCACATATATTGGAAACATATTTAATTCAAAATTCATCGTCTGCCAAAAAACTTTCAGGTAAGTTTGAATATTTGGTAAATGCTGTTTTTTACCAATGTATTTAAACCCGAAGATTCTATAGATTCAAGAATCAATTTCAATATGATGAGATATATATATCCCTTTGATTTAATGAGAATCGCACCGTCGTCCAAGCACAGTTCTGAAAATTGGAACTGTGAGCAAGCATCAAGCAAGTTCACAAGCCAGTGGAAATCATTTCTTGACATTGGTTTGCTATTGACATTTTCAGTGGAACATGCAGAACACGGTCAGTTCGGAATGAGGTCGGACAAGTGCAAGAGGTAAAAAAACTATTAATGAAGAAGTGAAAGGTGACAAATTTTATAAACATCTACTTTTTACCGAACGTGAGGAGCTCATCTGACCCCTGATTTATAGATACCAGAAGACGATGAAATAATGTTGGCATTTATAGATTTACCTGAATTTGACACTCGCCAATCTTGTCATATTGATTGGTATCATTAATTTTGTTGGGAGTATCATTTTTGGAATCAGCATTAATTTAAACCACGAGGATCAATCTGTTCAAGGTATTCCAATTCTTCCAATAGGTGATAACCTGGATTATGAATATTTGGCACTGCTAGGAGTTCGTTATTATGTGCGGCAGCAATAGGAGCTTTCGCAAATCGGAAATGTCGTCATTTCAAGATAGGACCTCTGAACAGCTATTGAAAATCTAAAGATTTCTTTCAAGCTATATGTACCTTCATGTCCATGAGAGAACAGTTTGCATCAATTAAGTACCTATACTTCATCATCAATGAATGAATAAATTAATGTTACCAGATATATGGACATGGCTAATTATCGACCAATATCCCTAATTTCAAACATTGCAAAAATTTTCGAAAAAGTATTAAAATAAAGATTAGTTAACTTTGTAGACAGGTTCAACATTATTTCAAATAGGCATTATGTTTTCAGACAAGCCCGGTCGACACAAGACGCAATCGGTGAATTAACAACAAAACTATATAATGCATTGAACGATAAAAAACCGACTCTTTGTGTCTTTGTCGACCTGGCCAAAGCCTTTGATACTGTCAGCCATATTCAACTTCTCCAAACGTTCGAGCAGATTGACATTCGCGGTACTCCACTGAGACTATTGAAAAACTATCTCACAAATCGTAATCAGTGTGTAAAATTCGGAGATGTTTACAGCGATTACGAAGTAGTAGAATATGGAGTCCCCCAAGGAACGGTATTGGGTCCTATATTTTTCAATATCTACATCAATAATCTCTTCAGTTTGGATACAGAAGGTGACATAATGGGTTTTGCTGATGACACAGTTGTTCTGTACTAGGAGCAAAGTTGGACTACGTTGAAAAGTAAAGCTGAGAGAGATTTCACGAAAATCGCCGAATGGTTTGCATCCCAACTACTCACTGTTAACTTTGAGAAAACTCATTATGTCCCATTCGCTTCCTATAAAAACCGTTTACCAGATTATAATGTACTTACTGTGAGAATAAATAATATACCAACCTACATCCAATCAGCTGAAAATATCAAATATTTGGGTATATATTATATATTGACAGCCACTTGAAATGGAATAAACAAACACAGTATGTCGCTAACAAAATCAGGAGTTTATTACCAAAGTTCAAATATCTGGTATGAATACTCGATACTAACCAGCTAAAAATTTTGTACTATTCACTTGTCATATGGAATAATAGCATGAGGGGGAACAACAGACACCCATATGCACAGCCTACAAACTGTACAAAAATATATTATAAAAATAATAATGAAAAAATGTCAAACCTACCCAACAGAACAACTATTTCACGAATCAAACTTGTTTGATATCAAGCAACTATATTTCTATTCTTAGTTAGACAACATACCCGCAAATCGGAACTGCCATCAATATAAGACAAGATACCGATGTAATTCAGTCTCAGTACCAAATGCTGAAAAAACGATATTTCAAAGATCTCTTGTATATCTAAGCCCGAAGGTCACTTACCAGAGAATTTGAAGTCAATAAGACCAATGAATTTATTCAAAAACAAATTGAAAGCATGGTTGCATACAAACCCTAGAGAATATATACATAATCTGGTTAACCACTAATCAATTCATTACTGATTCTATTCTCATTCGTTATAACAATAAGAACAAACTATTTGAGTAGGTACCCCACAGAATCTAGTTGGATGAGCGGTCTCCACGTACAAGTTCTTCTTTTAGAGGAGAACTGCTTGTCTTTCAATATTTTAATTAATTATTCTACTATACGTAGATACACTCATATTTATGAATAATTCTCTCTTTCAATTCGAAGTTTTGAATGCACTACGAACAAGTCCTAAGACTTTTAGTAGATTATCAATATTCATTCACTGATGTTCAAACCTTGTTGTAGGTAATACTTATTGTATTTCTAATTGTTAATACTTATTGAAATTGTATTATATATATATATATTGAATAAATATTATTATTATCAATATTATTATTATTATATTCATAATCCGTACAATATCCGTGCAATGTGCAATATCCTTCTTCCAACTAGTCTCCTTGATGGCATCGTTATTTTTGTATTACCTGTTTGAGTTATAAAAAATGACATAATATTCTCGATGAGGCTTCTCAGAAATCCGTAATCAATATTGTATGTAGAACAAAAATATAATATCATTTATCAATTCCTAATTTGAATCAAACAAGGGGCGCCTTGGCCGAGTTTGTCTATGCGCTGAAATTCGCTAGATAGCCGTTCACGATGCGAAGATACTGTCGGTTCGAATCCGGCTATCGACTGAGCATTCTTCTTTGAAATGTGTGATTCATGGTTGTTATCCTGGCAGCACCTCGATGCCCTAGAAGTGGTTCGGATTCCACTATAAGCTGTAGGTCCCGCTCTTCCTAACCCCGCACAAGTTTCGAATTCTGGGGAGTTGGTTCCCAACTTTAAAGTAGCGATATAAAAATTTAACAAAAAATTTAATTTAAACGAAACCAACTTCACTTCTAACGTAACGCAAGTACTTCCGTTACACGATAGAAGATGAAAGATAGGATTTTTCCAATACTGTTTATAGAATATCGTTCCGCAAAACACTGATCGTGGCTGCAACGCGAGAGATGCCCATTTCCATCTTTCTATGTTCGCGTTGTGGAACAGTGACAGAACGTCATGCTGAAGGGAGGTTGGGTTTATTTGGTTTATTGTTTGATTCACATCAGGAATTAATTAATGATATTATATAAGTGTTCTACATACAATATTGATTAAGGAATCATGAGAAGGCTCATCGAGAATATTATTCCATTTTATATAAGTCAAACAGATATTACAAAAATAACAATGCCATCAATTGGGGTGACTAGTTGGAAGAAGGATATTGTACGGATTATAAATATATCTGGTATCTTCAATTCATTCATTCATTAAAGATGAAGTAATTGATGCAAACTGTTCTTCTCAGGAGGTCATGTAAGATACCTATTTGTTGTTTCTTGATGTGTGGTAGGTATTGAAGCTAGAGCAGATGGTTGCAAAGATTCAAATCCATAGGAGTATATTTGAAAAATTGTTAGGGTTCAAGTTGGGGATTGTTCTCATGGACATGAAGGTATATAGCTTGAAAGAAACCTTTAGTTCTTCAATGCCTATGCAAAGGAACTATAACTGACGAAATTTCCGATTTGCGAAAGCTCCTTTTGCTGCCGCACATAACAGAACTCCAGCTGTAGCAGTGCCATATATTTATAATGCAGGTTATCACTCATTGGTAGAATTGGAATACCTTGAGGCTTGAACAGATTGATCCTCGTGCTTTGAAACAATGCTAATTCCAAACATGATACTTGATAGTCCCAACCAAAATAATAACACAAATTAATGTGACAAGATTGGCGAGTGTCAAATTCAGGAAAATCTATAAATGCCAACTTTATTTCATTGTCTAACGGTACTGATTGCGGATCGTTGAGAGATGCGTCATGGTATCTATAAATCAGGGAGGAAATTTGCATCTCTCGCGTTGCAGCTACAATCAGTGTTTTGCGGAACGACATTCTATAGACAGTACTGGAAAAACCTATGTGTTATCTTCCATCGTGTAACGGAAGTACTTGCGTTACGTTACGTTATTGAATCTATAAATCAGGGGTGAGAGCGAGTATACGGAAACTATATAATTTTCTACATAGATGATTCAATAATTTTACCTGTGAAACTTCTACATAGATGATTCAATAATTTTACCTGTGAAACCAAAAATTGCACCCACTTTCACACAAGATGGCCTGGTCATTATCATGGACTTCTTTATGGCACACTCCACACGGGTATATTGGCGGAGCATTAGGATTTTGTGAATTGAATACCATAGGTTGATCGACAGGATATATTTTTCCTGCGGACACTGGCATCGGTTTGGAATACATATTATTCATCGGCGACATGATGAAGTTGTTGTTATTCATTGGTGGTCCTGTATAATAAAACAAATATGTCGAATATAATTCATGTATTTTCGCACCACTAGCTTTATAACACACTATTATGTATGCTCTAATGCTCTTCAATCTGAGAAATCGTTTTTCTTCACTACTGGTCAATATAAACATTTACACTCCTACTAGTAAATAATCAAAATAATTGAAATCATCTATCCCATCTGAAATGCTCGTGATTTTGATATTCATAGTCCTAAACTTAGTACATATACATCAACTATTATTCTCTATTCACATATCCTCAGTTGAATGAACTATCTGATAAATATTTGGGGATCTTCAAAAAAAATTCTGTTTGATATAAGATGGCATTGAAAGGCATATATGATACTCCAACAAATCAACTGTATAAAAAAACAAACACATTTTCATTGGAAGAGCACTATTCACTCAATACTCTTAAAAGGCCTGTTCGTTTGTATTGCTAAACTGGCTAAAGTTGATCTTTTTCCCATAGTTGTCTCTGTTCATGCCATGATGTAAACAAAGAAAGTCAGAAAAAAAACAAGTTTAGCAGGTTGAGCAAGCACAAACGAACAGGCCTTATATTCCCTATTATATCATCAACAAAAAGCTTAAATGAAATTTCATATCAATTAGGAATTCCCAAATTCATGGTCATCACACTAGACAATATAACTTGTTTTATCTTGAAGCTGCAAATTCTCAACTTGGACAAGAAAAGTTTACACATGAGGCGATCTCGAAATTCAATGAATTATCAGATATCAAAAACAGCCCAGATATTATTTAACTCAAAAATAAAGTGAAGAAATATATTCTGATGTAAGGAATGATCAAAGGTGACAGATTTAATGGAATTTCCTTTTTTTCTCTCTCTCTCTTCCCTGTATATGAGTACTGTTATTTTGAAATATCTTAATGATAAGTTAGTTTTGTTCACTATTTTTTGTAATTTCAATAATACCATTGTACCTATAAAATGTATGAGTGAAGAAAAATGTAACGCAATAACTGGAATGAATAAATAATCTAGTTGCAAGGATCCTGGTATGAGTTTTCGAATATCATCATCGGCCATATTGTTTTGGAAGATAATTTTTGTCTGATATTCTGGTGTCGTAAGGAGCATTGAAAGACGTTTCGGCGTGCAGGCGCCATTTTGAAAAATACAAATAATACTATCGTAATCAAAATGTAGCGCCTGGAGTACTACTGGAGCAAAAAATAAAAGTAAATCTCACCCGTTCAATAGTTAACTATGAGAGGTAAAACCTAGTGTACTTGACACTTGTTTTGGCGTTTTTGTATATTTATATGCTTTGATTCTCAGGACCCTTCACAATTTGCTGCGGAAATATCCGAGATCATCACGCTTGGAATATACACATACATACCTCAATCTTCGAAAAGATCATCAACTTCGGAACCCTGGATCAACAAGAACTGTTTTTAGAGATGTTGCCTTGAAACAAACAGCCTACCATCGCAAGCGCAAAAACCCTAGCCTCGTGACTAGAGCAGAATATGTTGAAGTCAGAAATGACTGCAGCCAAACAATAGAGGCATCAAAAGAAATCACACAATGCCAAAATGAGATCGAAACTCAGAGATTGTCCCAATGGCTCCCGTTCGTTTTGGTCCCTCGCTAAAGCAGTCGAAAGGTAATTCACTAATAGTTCATTCCCATTTCCACCACTCTTGAAAGCCGACAACACACTAGTTATAAAAGCGCAAGAGAAAACGAACATTTTTGAAAAGATGTTCGCAGCTAATTTCGCCCTAGATTACCAGGGAAGTGTCGCCAGACATTCCACCCGTTGGAAGTCGAATACCCGAAATCGTCTTTCGTCAACGCACTATCAGGCGCATTTTGCTGGGTCTCAGAGCGAATAAGGCTAACGGCCCTAATGGAATTCAACCAATTATTCTCAAAAAGTGTGCACCAGGAACCGTAGATCAATCTCCAATTATAATGCTCCCAAGATATTCAATATGATACCAATAGCAGTACAGAATGAAAAATAATTCCTTAGCTTCAAAAGATCATACAATAATCACTAACTAGGCACTTTTAATCGCGTTCGAGTTAATTCCCCATATGTTTTTCCTTTCAAGTTTTGTCTTCTTAATAAATCAAATTGAATCCTACACTTATTTGTGAATATTTTTTATCGTTTCTATGATGGCTCATGAATTTCATGAATGTACTTTTGTTTTTATGATGTCTCATGAATTTTATGAATGTATTTTATTCTTTTTTCATGTGTCATGGTACTCGTTTGAGTAGAGCAGCCTGGACTTCGCCCAGCATAATTGAAATAAACACCTTTATTTATTATCATTTTTATTATTATTATATTATAGAATTAACACGGATTCTCTGCAATTTATTTACCATCTCGTACAAGTCGAGTATTTTCGATTTTGCTGGAAAATAACTAGTCCAACCAATTCCGAAAAAAGGAAACAAATGCCTGCCCAACAACTATAGATCGATATATTCGTTAGCAGAGTGTTTGAAGAATGTTAATATTATAGAAATATCTGAAATATATCTTCTGATATTGAAAATACAACTTGGGATGAAAGATATTTATTAGCACTAACATAAACAACTTTTTGTTTTATATACAATACATATTACATAACTGATTTCTCCAACAATATTGCCCTGTTATCAGTTATCTCCAAAGTGATGGAGAATGCCATCAACATTGGAGCTCATCAAATATCTGGAAAGCTCAGGAATCAATAATGATAGACAAAATGGATTTCGCCATCGAAGATCAACTGGAGATTTACTTGCCTACGTCACCCATATATGGCAAGCTTCATTAGAAAAACATGGGAGATATCTAGCGTTGGAAATTACAGCCTGGGAAATCGACAACCTAGTTGAATTCAACGCTACCAAAACCCAAGTCTGTATTTTCTATAGAAAGGCGGAACTCAGTATGCCTGATATATCAATGTCTGGTACCACTATTCCCACCAAATCCACTATATCTATGCTCGGAATTTGCATCAGCAATACTTTTTCATGAAAAAATCATGTCCAATCCATCGCAAAAGCTGCTTAACAAAAACTCGGATTTTTTTTTCGTGCGAGAATCTAATTTACACCTCAACAGCTTCTCATGATCTACAAAGCACAGATACGACCTGTTTTAGGATACTTTTCTCACATATGGGGTTCAGCACCCAAATATATGCTGATGCTTTTAGATTCCATCCAGAGAAGATACATTCGCGGTGCCACACTCACTAAGTCAGAAAAGAGTGAGATAATTGATTTTGTTGAAATCTCAAAATGTGGTCAGTGCATAGTCCAAAAAAGTTGAATTAATTTTCATCAAAGAGAATGTGAAATATCTAACTCCCTGTATATTGATTGAATTGATACGACATGTTTTCCATGCACATTCACGATAGTAAATTGCCGAATTTCAGAGCAGTACCTTTCAAGGATTTCGAAATACTGAAGCAAATCTAGTAATCAAATTGTTCTTCATCGCCCTCCCACGGAACAAACGGTTCATTTTCGTATAGAGGTAAGTGATTTGATGGGAATAAGAGGAAATGCTCACTCATTAATAAATACATATCTTCAACATCGCGAACAATTCACAATAGTTGATGGCTGTTCAAGCCAAACTGGAAATACCCAAGCTGGTGTGCCTCAAGGCTCAGTCCTTGGACCCCTACTCTATACATTACATGTTCTGTCTTTGAAATCTGCCAACATTACAGGTAGATACTTCAAATTCGCAGATGACACTGTTATTGTATATAAGGGTAAAGACTTGAAAGAACTTGAAACAATAGTCAATACCGACCTTGAAAGGTATCACAGATGACTTGCAAAAAACAAACTTCAGATCAATGTAAAAAAGAATACTTTTATCATTTTCTCTCAGAAAAACATGAAACTTCAAGACATAATAGTGGAGATAGGGGGCAAAGAAATAACGAGAGTCCATAATACTAAGTATCTGGGACTAATAGTCGATGAAACCCTATGCTGGAATAACCATATCAACCATATAGAAAAAAAAAGTAATTCCAATGGTTAGTGCCCTGTATCGTTGTAGAACCTACTTACGCCCATCCTCACTCCACCAAATATACAGTGCATATTTCTTATCCATTCAAAAAAATAAAAACACTTCAAAACAAAGTCGTGAAAATTTTAATCAGGCTCGATTACAGAACCTCAACTGGTACCATATACAATGTAACCAAAATAATGCCTATTCAGAATATTCTAGAAATCGAGCAAGGTAAATTTGCATACAAGGTTATAAGTAAACAAGTTAAATGTAATACCAACTTTACATTTGTTAATCAACACACATACTGGAACACATGATAATGTCTTTTTAGAACCTGTACGTACTAATATTGGCCTAAATAATCCCATTACACTATGCATGAAAACTTATAACACCCTCCCCAAGGAAATAACAGATAGCCCTAATATCAGTATATTCAAGAATAAAATAAAGAATTTTCACACTAGCATACTTGATGAATGATCGGCATAAATCTCTTCTTCGTTTCTCTATCCCAGGTTATAGAATTCTTAAGTGAATTTTCAATAGTATTATTTCGTTGTTGTACTGTATTGTATATAGATTAATTATGTATATTGTTTAGCTAAATTTCCGAGACCAGCATGTTCGTGCTGCTTTGGATAACCATTTTTTTGGATAGTGTTGTTATTTCAATTTACTCAAAACTGTGACTGTAACCATTTCTGCATTATGCAAATAAAGTTCTTGAAAAAAAAAATTTCAATCGGCCTATTTTGGTCTCTAGTTCAACCTGTAAAATTTATGAACCACTCCACGCCGGCTGCTTCAATTTTTTCTTCTCATTTTTGTAAGTGTTCTATTTGATGTAAATTCGAGTAAATAGATTCCTAGTATTTTTACAGTTAGTATCAACACAAACATGACTGACTTGTCAGTGTTTGTCAAAGTGTCCGTGCTCTTAAATAAACAAAAACGTCAAAACTTAAGTGTTAAGTATATACATTAATTAAGGGACCCTAGGAGAGGTTATTTTACATATTCCTGAGAATAGTATATTCTGCAATTTTTTATATTATCAGGTAGTTTATTGAATTCAGTTAAGGCTGAATGAGTGAATCTTTTTGTCCGATTAGGGAGCTAGCGGCGTCAAGATGAAACAAGTTATATTGTCTAGTTTCATGATTATGAATTTCAGAATTCCGTATCAAAATAATATTCGACTTCAATTTTTTATTTATGATATTATATGATATTTTGAGAGTTTCAATTCTATATATTTCATCTGAAGAATACGTATTTGTTATTTCATACAATTGATTGGTTGGTGTATCAAATGGGAGACGATACAATACTTTTAACGATTTTCTATATAATGTTGATATTTTATTGAAATTATTTTTTGAACAAGATCCCCAAACATTTATTAAATAGTTGATACGACTCAGTATATGAGAGTAGAGAATCATGTTTGCAATTTTAATATCAAGTTTGGGACATCTTCTCAATGCACCAATAATTGGAAATATAATTGCTTGTCATAACACGAAATTCATACACTATGTAAGGTACAGAACTTCTGTTGTGATTAAATATCAGAATATGTTGTTATCCTATCCATAATAATTGTATATTCATTGTTCTTGTTTCCTATTGTTGATTGTTTCTATATCACCTGAAAAACCTACTATGATACCTGCAGAACGATCAAAAATATACTGCATCGAATGGTTCAAATTAGTTTTATTGATTATAAGGTCGTTATGAAACAGGGTAAATAAAATGGGTCACAAGAATCTGCACATACTACTTTTGAGAAGTTATTAGCAAAGACCATTGATTTTTCATCCACTCCGTATATTTCACGGATTTGCAGAGTGGACATTCATCATAGAATGAACAAGATTCCCAATAGGTTGTTCAAGTTGTAAGTCATATTGAGGATGCCAATAATAGTTACCTAACATGGATGTGACTTTATCAAAAATAAAACATCTTGTATATAATATGTCTGATTAGGAGATGCCAATATCACGAAATGGGGATGATATTTGTATACTACAGAATTTAAATGAAATTCCACCGCACACTTTTCCGAAAATCACTGAATTATTCGCTATGTTCCGACCAACCCTGTATATTGTTAGTACGTGCAGGAATCATTATACTTCATAGTAGATTGGTATCGGTTATTCGAACAATCAATACACAGTTGATTTGGTTTCGAAATTATGAAAGGTGTCTTCACAATTTCTATCTAAAATTCTGGAAAAGTCAACTTTATCACCCTATATAATCGTGCCTGTTGATTTTAGAGCGTTGGTGCAATGGAGACATTTGATCAGCACCACGAGTTCTACAATATATCAAAAATTCGAGTAAATTCACCGAAAGCCAATTTCCCATTGATGCGGTGCGGGGTCCTTTGGTAATAACTTTTCAGAGGTCGGACTGGAAACTTCCAGTTTTTTTTCAGAAAGATATTCCTTTCATGAATATTTTTTGTATTGTGTTAACTTTTGATAAGTCTCGAGGTTCATTTGCAAATAAATAATTTCTGATCTGAGGCATCTTATGCATTTTTTAGAAATATATTCTGGTTGGGACATGGATTGACTGTTGACTCTTGGGATGAAAATAAGTTGATTTTAGCCAATTCACCTATATTCAAAATCGTTTCGTTGAGTTGGTACAAGGCGTTAAACTGCGCACCTTATGTCCTGAATAGTTAAATTTGTAACGCGAGAGTTCTTGCAAAGCCCTCGAGGACCAGCAACATATCAGTTTGTTTACTATAAGAATACATTGTAGCCATGATCAATAAACAGTCCGACTAATTAGATTAATTTTCAAAAATGCGCAGGATGCATCATATCAGAAATTATTTATTTGCAAATGAACACGATTCAAAAAATATTTCTGAAGGGAATATCTTTCTGGAAAAAAAAACTGGAAATTTCCTTCAGTCCGACCTCTGAAAAGTTATCATCAAATTTGTACGGCAACATGGTTGTTTGAAACACTTGCAGGTAACTGATGATGATCAAAAGTATCTCAAAACGTGACTTACAGTCACAGAACATGCCATGCCAAAAATTATGAAAATCTATCTCAGCCTACTTTTTTTATGAGCAAAATTATTTTTTTACAAAAAACTTCAAGGCCTTGTACCATCTCAACGAGACGATTTTGGATAGAGATAAGTTGGCTTAAATCAACTTGTTCTTATCCCAGGAGTCCACAGCCGAGCCATGTCCCAACCTTTTACAGTCACCCTGTATATAATAATTAAAATGGTTTGATGAACCACGAAACAGCATCATGGTTCATCACCCGGTACATACTGATCATCTATGAAATTTCTACTCACCGTGAGGAGGCCCATTCTGCGCGGACATGGACATGTTTCCCGGCCCGCCGCCACCCCCGTGCGGCGGGCCGTGCGGACCGTGCGGGCCGTGCGGTCCGTGCTGACCCTGCGGCCCGCCCATGTTCGGCCCGTTCATGGGGTTGCTCATGCCGCCGCCGTTCATCGGCCCGCCCATCGGACTGCCCATCGGCGGGCCGCTGCCGGGACCCTGGCCGCCCATCGGGCCCATGTTGCCGATGGGACTGTGCATCGGAGGGCCTACGAACAAAATCAATGCGAACATTTTTTTAAATCAAAATATTTCAGAGAATCATTTTCTTGTTTTGCGACTCTGATGAGTTTCCTTCGAAAGAGCGTGTCTCACGGTCAAACAATTTGATCAAATTTGTTTGATGTGACGTCATTCTTGCCTGTTTGACTCAAATGGTTTGAATCGTCAAGAAATCCTTGTCACACGATTTGAAGAAAAATATTGGTTAAGTAGGTTTTTGAAATGGGAGAATCACAAGGAAAAATAAACTGAAAATATTTATAATACAGAGAGTGGTTTAAAAAAGAGGGAGATATGGAGAAGACAATGGATTCAAAGAACAAATATTGGTAGAGGAGTCCTATACCTATGATTTTTGATGAAGTCAGACTGGAAGATTTCAATACTTTCCAAAACTGTACCTAAAAATGGATGACATGTTTCAGCTATCTATGGAATAAAACCAAACCATTATCTAATTTTTGTTTTTTTAGTTGCTCTTTCATAATTTTCCCTGCTATAAACATATATGTTTCTTGGGAAAAATAAAGATAATAATAATATTGAAAATACAAATAGTAATAAGCGTGAATGTATACCTGTAGAAATGAGGTGAGATCGTGACCTAGTCCCTAGTCATCCTAGCATAAAATTGGGATTGAAACAAGACAAAAATATTCCTATAATTATCCAAAATGGTCCCAAGTCCAATTAACATCAGTACCAGCAGACATTTTTGAAGTAATGATAATATCAATTTTAGTATTTCTTATTAATTCCTAAGATGAAGAATAATAATCATTCAATCAATGATGAAAACATGGAAACAAACATCCTAACCTGATTGTTTTATCCAACATGTCATATATTTAGAACGTGTTCTAAATTTCAGCTGCTGTTTGACGTGACGTCATTGATGACATCACAGATATGTAGTTTGATCATGTCGTTGGACCGTGAGACAGGGCCTGAATTTGGTACCGATTTTCAAAAATGAAAATTCGATAATAGAGGGTTACTGGTTATAGGCGAGTGGACTAATTTGTTTTCATCTCTCAAATAGAATCATCCTTCAAATACCTTTCGATTTCATATTCTTTTAGAATTTTTCGGTCGATTTTAAGGTGCCAAGATCGTCAATAACGCCACGGTAATTTTTAAACGGCTAAAAATTTACCGCGAGTAAAAACTGATATCACGATTCGATTTCGTAAGTAGGGGAAGACCATAGCACAGTTGCCTTATGTTGAAATACGATTGCGAACTCCAGAAATATTAGTTATTCAAACATCAATAAATTCTCCATCATGTATTGGTAATATTCCTATTTAGCAATACAAAATCAATTGTCTCAAAATGGTACCTCATGATTTGTGGCTTTTAAATATATATACATTTTTGAATAAAGTAATTATATTGATTCACCCTAGAGGACAGTTGAAGCAGTGAACGTGACAACACCGCGCGCACGTTTTGTGGGCGTGGTCTTGTCCCTTTTCAGCATTCAGCACAATGTTGCCAAGTATTTTTTTATGTTCTGGTTCCCACTAAAAGGGATATCCTGTAATGTTCAGAGAACATCGTGAGAACCAAGGGAAATAAGGTAGGAATTGGTGTTCTCCTCAAATTTCTGGAGGTTATATGCCTCGGGGAACACCTCTCTTGGCAATGTGTTCCAGAGCCTCGCTCTTCGTTGGATGAACGAGTCTTTGGAAAGAGATGTTTTGCAGGTCTCCAAAGTGACCACGGAGGGGTGCGAAGCCTAAACTCGACGGGTTGATCTCTCGGGGACTGCCAAGGGAGGAACAATTGTTGATATTTCAGAAGAGCATCGTCCATGGAAATATCTATAAAATAGAGCCAGACCGCCAACTTTTTTACGGTGTTCCAGAGAAGTGAGTGAGTTTGTGTGCGAGGCATCACCCACGAGAGGAATTGCTCTCTTTTGGACAGAATCCAACAGTTTCAGGGTATGTTTGGGTGCTGCACTCCAAATATGGGAACAGTATTCCAGGACAGATCGGATCTGTGCCTTATAGATCATAAGCAGCTGACTGGAAGTGAAATAGCTCCTGGCCCGAAAAAGACGACCAAGTTTTTGGGATGCACTTTTAGCAATTGATCTCACGTGATTTTCCCAAGAAAGGTTATTGCTGTCAACAGCCAGTCTGCCAATACACTAGATCTTTTTCTTGACAGCAATCCTGATCCATATAGAATAGGAGTTTGTGCCCCACTTGGAAACTCTGACCACACCCTCATCTCCGCAACCTGCTCCTTTCATGTACCATCCAGCACCACAATTCCTAACCGTCTCATGTGGCATTACAATTCGGCCGACTGGGAAGGTCTTCGTATATTTTTTTCAGCGTTTCCATGGAAGAGAGTTTGTTTCTCCTCAGCAGATCCAACACGATGTGCTGAGACAATTTCTGAAATCATCATGTTGGGGATGCAAACCTACATACCGAACACTACAAGAACATCTTCCGATAAGGCCTGGTTCAGTAGAAACTGCTCTAGAGCTGGCGCTTCCAAACAGGCAGCATTCCATCGATGGCAGAAAAATCCAGGCCCTGAGACTAGCCTCGACATATTGTCGAGGCTAGTGGCATTTGCAATGAGATAATTCGACCATCAAAGGATGCTCATAATGCCAAAATAAGATCTTAACTCGTTGAATGTCCTAACGGATCCCGTTCATTTTGGGTCTTCGCCAAAGCTTTAAGAAGAAACTTCACTTCCAGCTCGTTTCCTCCTCTAACCAAGGAAGATGGAACACTAGCCACAACTGCCCAGGAGAAAGCCAACATTTTTGCGTATCATCGGAAAAACAACCTCCAATCATAACGCCAATTGACAGTCATATTCGACTACTCTTACAAATTGGGGATATTCCCGTCCAACTGGAAAATTGCAAGAGTACAACCAGTTCCTAAAAAAGGCGAAAAGACCCCACCTAGCAACTACAGACCGATCGCACTGCTATCTATTATTTCAAAGATCATGGAGAAAGCTATCAACATCGAGCTCATGAAATACCTGAAACATTCAGGTATTATCAACGATAGGCCAATATGGCTTCCGTCATCAGAGATCACCTGGTGACCTGCTCGCTTACGTATCACATATATGGCAACAATCTATTGAAAAATATGGTGAAACCTTAGCCGTAGCACTTGATATCTCCAAGGCATCCGATCGAGTCTGGCACCACGGACTCCTCGTCAAGCTTCCATCTTATGGCTTGCCTCCCCAGCTGTGTTCTCTGCTAGCTAGCTCTCAAACAGGTCTCTCCATATAGTGGTCGACAGAGTTTCATCTGACTCTCTTATCATAAATGTTGGTGTTCCGCAAGGATCAATTCTAGCACCAACACTATTTCTACTGCATATTCGTTGGAAGCAACTCCATGTCCAGTACACAGCTTCGCGGATGATATTACCCTCCATACCGCCTTCTCTTCCAGGGCTCCAATACCACCCAGGCAAATCAGAAACGAACAAGGGAGAGATTTTGACAACATGAATATGGACTTGGCAACAAATCTCGAATGGGGATCTAATAACTTGGTAGATTTCAATGCAAACAAAACACAAGCATGCCTTTTCTCTAGAAAAGCCGATCTCACTGTGCCCAACATAAGCTTGTTAGGAGTAACCATACCTTTGAAGACATCCATTTCGATGCTTGGTATTATTGAAATCTGGAATGCGGGTTGGTAGTTCGACTAGTTGTTCTAGACCATGAGTGATGGCGAAGGCCTCAGTTTGACGACGACCTGCATCTTAGTTTTGTTAGATAATTTGAGCCAGGCTCCGTTGTGTACATTGTAGTTTCCCATGATTATGATTACAGCTGTTGGATGGTTCTCCTGAATGAAGTCCAGTTTGAGTGATAAAAACTCAAAGAGGTTGTTATATTCATTATCATTAGGCGATAGGTAAAGGCAGCAGATAAATTTGGTCAGTTTGGTATCGATTAGCTTGAACCACATCACATTAAAGTCTTTCGGTTCCAAACCTTTGAACCTGAATCAAGAATGGAGTTCGTAACCAGGACAGAGCATGTGGACCGAGATGTGGACCTTGTTGGTGGACGAGTTCACTTGAGTTTCTGTTAGTGCCAGAATATCTGGTTTTTCCGTTTGTAGATGATGGTGGACGTCATTGATGTTCTTGTTGAGTCCGCGGATGTTGCAAAACGTGACGAAATTAAACTTCGGCACTGTATCGTTGATCCAGCTCTCATGTTTGAGTTTATTTATATGAAAGAAGAGGATCAGATCAATCTATTCACTTCGTCAAAAATTTCCTCTTTATTCATTTGAAAAATGCACATGCGCAGAAACCATAATTGTTTCCTCTGGGAGATGCAAATATATTTTCCTCTCTAATTGATTTTATCCTAAACATAGGCGATTGTTAGTCCTTTGTTCAAAAAGAGTGGGCATTCCATTTGTAAAAAAAAGAAGATGCGGGAACAAAAATATTTCGAATGAAGAAATATTTTGAGCAACTTAGTTTTAATATTTCAACTGGAAACACATTTCAGGACACGTGGTACATACCAAGAACAGAAGTGAATTATGTTTCGTAACTGTCGAGAAATGTATCGATACATTTTGAGGCCGAAATTAACTTACTTCCATTATATCCTTTTTCATTGGTTGATGAAATAGTTAATTTGTATGAACACATTTGTTTCCTCGTCTATGTTTTCAACTAAATATATTACCTGTAATGTTCATATTAGGACCCATCGGACCACCTGGTCCAGGGCCATTTGGACTGGACATCATATGGGGCGGTCCGTGTCCAGGACCCATGTGGTTCATTCTGGGGCCGTTCATCATCATGGGGTTGTTCATTTGATGGGCATTTGGACTATGCATCATCGGTGAGCCCATTCCCATCGGTGGATTAGGACACATCGATCGGTACATCATATTATTACCCATCACCATATTCGGACCAGGTCCTAGACGAAAATCTTGAAAACTATTTTTTTCAACCTCTTACAACGTGTCATCAGTAATACACTTCACGCCTAAATCATACTGCGATACATTATCAGATGGAAAATACATCCAACAAATCAAACACAAATCAAACTAAGGACAATGAATAAAATTGATCTATTAGAGATGTTTCACAGTAAACTATAATTTACGGGTGAAGTGTAAGTGGTAGAGGTGTTACTTAGATCAAGTCTTGCAATGCTGGAAGTATACTGCAATGAAGTTTAGATTGTTTTTTTCAATGGATAATTTTGCAATATCAAAAGTTTCTTTTCTGCTCAAGTTGCGACTCGGGAAAAGTTGAAAGTGGTAGAGATCTTGGTATAGTACCTTCCTCCGGAAGCATGCATAAAACTTGGCACGCGTATTATGTTACAAATTAGCTAAGAGAGCCAGGTGGAAAATGATTCATTTCCCAAAAATCGCGAAAAATCCAAAGTTGGCGAATCAAAAAAAAAACTTCCTTACGTATATCATCGGTTGATGTATAAAGGTAATTTGAGTGCTCTGTGTAGATACATAGATCTGAGTAATTTTTCTATAAAATCATCTTCATTATAAAAAGTCAAAATAGCTGCTGAACAGCAAGATAACCGTCATCTTGAACCTAATTACACGAGATAGGGTCAGGTTAGGTTAGTTTGAGAAACGATTAGTTAATTAAATTGATTACTTTTATGTATAATCATCCAATGAAAAACGGAACGAATCATTCATAGAGGGTGGTCTAATTGAGGTTCGCCACCGACTGTATGTTAAGAACAACACATGTGACTAAAATACTAATGAAACATTGTTTTATCCCATCAATCTTATTCTTATATTGTGCATTCTGAAATTCGAGCCTTATCATTGGGATTTCGTGTACCGTAAGCGATACAGGGTGGGTTAACATGCCGTTTTGAAATTTGAAAAATTCCGAATACTTCCAGATTTTTTGAAAAACCCGAATATTCACGATTTCATTTCCATTTTTCATGACTCCACTTATATAGATGTACGAAATAAATTACACATTCTGATTGATTTTCAAACGGACGTTTCGTCTTTGAGCTGCCATCATCAACTTTGTTTTTTTAAATACGGCCCCAGATTTGTCATCATGGATTTTGGAAGCTTTTGATCCCCCAAAACTAACGGTGTGTCGCACTTATTCGAAAAATTCATATAAATGGCATTTTCCATAAGAACCCATGTGTTAGAGGGAGACAGCATAGACTTTCAATAGGGATAAAAACAGGACATTAGATGCTCTTAAGATTCCATAATAAAAAATACAGGGCAGTATTTTAAAAAAACAAAGTTTATGACGGCAGCTCAAAGCCGAAACGTCGATTTGAAAATCTGATGACACCATCTTGTAGAACAGAAACAGTAGCAATGAGAATGTGTTATTTGTTTTGTTACATCTATTCAAATAGTCATAAAACAATAAAAATGGAATTGCGGATATTCGGTTTTTTCGAAAAATCTTTGAACGTATTCGGAATTTTTCCATTTTCAATGCGGCATTTTGGTAGGCATTTTTGCGCAACTTTGCCATAATTTAACCGACCCTGTATCTCTTACGGTTAACGAGATCAAAATGATAAGCTCTAATTCTAGCTACCCTGTACAGGGTCATTTCGATTTAAACAGCATCTACACGCTTCATCATTGAAGAAATATCATTTCTGATTCAAAAAATATATAGGTTGTTGATATTCGGTTCAGCCGTTTTCAAAATATTCGATGTTGAACATTTTTTAGTTTAGTTATTGGCATGAAGAATCAACAACACATACGCAAATAAAATATGACGGAAATTTTGATTAATAACAACTTGCATATATTATGTGTTGTTGATGGCAATTGCGATTTGGTAAAAATAAAAAATTAACTAATTTTGAAATTCATTATTCCAAATTTTTTGGGATTTTCTCTCCTCGTTTCTATAAAATAAAAATATGAATATTATTTCAATATACGTGTAGTAAGGACAAATCAGATGATATGCCCCAAAATGTCACTGCGTTTAAAGAATTTTCCTATCAGAGAGCCTAAAAGAAAAATTCACTAGCTTGTCAGTGACAATTTGTATTGAAAAATTTTTGGAGAAGAGAAATAAAGGTATATAGAAAAAATATCAAATTTTCATATTTTTATTTTATAGAAACGAGGAGAGAAAATCCCAAAAAATTTGGAATAATGAATATACCACCTCCTCGATTAACCTACAGACAGTATTTAATTTTGAAATGTTCGACCTAGAATATTTCATAAACAGCTGAACCGAATATCAACAACCTATATATTTTTGAAATCAGAAAAAAATATCTTAAATTTTTTCGAAAAATATATAGGGTGTTCCATTGAAAATAGCGAGGTTGGTACTATAGCAGAATAGGACTTCTAGCTATTTGAATAGTTTTTAAAGTCTGACACAACAATTAGTGTTATGACAAATTACATTTTTATTATAAATGGTGATTCAGAATTGTGGTGACAAAAGCCTAGGGGAGATTCCTCACAACAAAATATGGAAAAAAAGTTCATATGAACATGGGTACGAATAAAATGCTTGAGCCGATTTGAATAAAATTTTCATGCTTTATTTACACAATTATCAGACATTTACTGGATCAATTAGATTTGATCCAGAATTTCCAAGGGCGTACCCATCGACCAAGTCGGCTTTTTAAAGAAAAAAAGTCACCCAGCGTGTTTTTCGGATTCTTCTAAAATATTCAGATGAACCCACTAAAAATTCATTTCTATCTGTTGCTCTTTCTTCGTATGTTGCTTCGTTTTCGATAAAAACGGACAATACCATACCTCGGCATACCTCTGAACTTCATAAAGAAAAAGAAAAATGCTTAGATATTGTCCAAAAATGTATTACACATTATCATTTATGAAAACAATACCCTCTCTAAAATGTATACGATTTTTAAATTTTGTGAGAAATATTTTTTCAAGATATTAATGAAACTCATTTTCTGTCATACTTGGACACTCTATATCTCGGAAACGGGGCATGTTCGGAACCATGTTCATGTAATTTTTTTTTTTTTTTCATAATTTGTTGAGTGGAATCTTCCTTAGGCTTTTGTCACCACAATTCTGAAACGCCCTGTATATCTTGACTTTGACAACAGCCATCTATCAATATAAAATAAACTAATAATGCTTGCAATCTTCAATACCTTCCCTCATTTGCCAGTTTGACTAGTCCCATAATTATGTTCTCCATATTTCTCCAACCTTGGCTCATAAAACGGCGACTTCGTCACAGCAACTTTTAGTACAGTGAATATATTTTTGATATCTAATATCTCGTCGCATACCAATTTCCATATGAAGAAATGTATCGTTCGGATCTTCATTATACACCATCACACAGGGTATTTCTTCTAAATCAATGACTTCTTCAAAAAATCTAATATCTCGTCTCATACCAATTTCCTTATGAAGGAATGTCTCATTCGGATCTTCATTATACACCATCACACAGGGTATTTCTTCTAAATCAATGACTTCTTCATAAAATACAATATCTCGTCGCATACCAATTTCCTTATGAAGGGATGTCTCATTCGGATCCTCATTATACACCATCACACAGGGTATTTCTTCTAAATCAATGACTTCTTCATAAAATACAATATCTCGTCGCATACCAATTTCCTTATGAAGGGATGTCTCATTCGGATTCTCATTATACACCATCACACAGGGTATTTCTTCTAAATCAATGACTTCTTCATAAAATACAATATCTCGTCGCATACCAATTTCCTTATGAAGGGATGTCTCATTCGGATTCTCATTATACACCATCACACAGGGTATTTCTTTTAAATCAATGACTTCTTCATAAAATACAATATCTCGTCCCATACCAATTTCCTTATGAAGGAATGTCTCATTCGGATCCTCATTATACACCATCACACAGGGTATTTCTTCTAAATCAATGACTTCTTCATAAAATACAATATCTCGTCGCATACCAATTTCCTTATGAAGGGATGTCTCATTCGGATCCTCATTATACACCATCACACAGGGTATTTCTTCAAAATCAATGACTTCTTCATAAAATACAATATCTCGTCGCATACCAATTTCCTTATGAAGGGATGTCTCATTCGGATCCTCATTATACACCATCACACAGGGTATTTCTTCTAAATCAATGACTTCTTCATAAAATACAATATCTCGTCGCATACCAATTTGCTTATGAAGGGATGTATCATTCGGATCCTCATTATACACCATCACACAGGGTATTTTTCTCAAATCAATGACTTCTTCATAAAATATAATATCTCGTCACATACCAATTTCCTTATGAAGGAATGTCTGATTCGGATCTTCATTATACACCATCACACAGGGTATTTCTTTTGAATCAATGACTTCTTCATAGAATACAATATCTCGCCACATAGGTACCAATTTCCTTATGAAGGAATGTCTCATTCGGATCCTCATTATACACCATCACACAGGGTATTTCTTTCAAATCAATGATTTCTTCATAAAATATAATATCTCGTCGCATACCAATTTCTTTATGAAGGAATGTCTCATTCGGATCCTCATTATACACCATCACACAGGGTATTTCTTTTAAATCAATGACTTCTTCATAAAATATAATATCTCGTCGCATACCAATTTCCTTATGAAGGAATGTCTCATTCGGATCCTCATTATACACCATCACACAGGGTATTTCATTTAAATCAATGACTTCATAAAATATAATATCTCGCCACATACCAATTTCCTTATGAAGGAATGTCTGATTCGGATCTTCATTATACACCATCACACAGGGTATTTCTTTTGAATCAATGACTTCTTCATAAAATACAATATCTCGCCACATACCAATTTCCTTATTAAGGAATGTCTCATTCGGATCTTCATTATACACCATCACACAGGGTATTTCTTTTAAATCAATGACTTCTTCATAAAA